ATGTAAATAAAATTATGCTGAAGAAAATTCAAAAACAATTGCAGCAGTATATTGACGGAGAACTGCCAGAAACACAAGCTAGATTCAGAAGAGTATGTAGACTGAGTGATATCATTGCTGATGTCAGATGGATCTTGGCTGAAAGTAAAGAATACCAGAAAGCTGTTTACTTGTGTTTTATTTACTATGCAAAGACATTTGACTATGGGCATCATAACAAATTATAGATAACATTGAGAATAAGGGGAATTCCAGAGCACTTAATTGTGCTCATGAAGAACCTGTATGTAGACCAAGAGGCTATCATTCAAAAAGAACAAGGGGATACTGCATGGTTTAAAATCAAGAAGGGTGTATTGATAAGTATTGATTTGAGTGAAAGGAAAGGAAAGGAAGTGAGTGACCAACACAGTAGCAGTAAAGAAAAAGAAGAGCTACACAAGAAGTACAGATTACAAAGATAAATACTTTTCATACATGTTACTACATTGTCAGTAATAACACACATTAATCTGCAGGTAGATACATATGTAGACAGATTGAATGATCAGATGTGTCTAGGCAAAAGGGAATATACCCCTGCCCATATAAGTTTGACAAATGCTGTTTCTGTATACATATTTATATGTGCCATAAGACTGTCCTTATATATAACAGAGCTAATGGGGCAAAATTATGATAACTTCTTAGCCATGGCCAACCATCCTGAGGAAGTGAGTGGTTGGGCTGTGGGTTTGAGACTTTGGTTGCAGGGGACATCAAGTTCCATTGGTGTAACATACTACACAAAAACATTGTTCTGCATCCTACTTTGCGGAGTGGCGACTGGGGTCTTAAAAGGTCACACACGGCCATGTATGATGAAACAATTGGTCTTTGCTTATCTGGAGCAAAGGAAAATGAAGAAAATCAAGGACTCATGGAAAAAATTAGTCCAAGGGTCTGGTGGACAATGCAGACCTCAACCTACACAACCCTGAGACCTGAAGAACTAGATGGTACCCAGCTACCACCGTCAACCACTTAGAAAGGGATCAGTATAAGAGATCCAGGATACAGTGGGAGAAAAATATGGAACAACACTCGAAATTGTAAATAAGACCAGGCTTACTGGTTTGATAGAGACTGGTGAAACCCCCAAGACTGTGTCCCTGAGTCACCTTTTGGGCCTGGAATTGAACTCATTTCTGTGGCTTCCAGCCAAACAATAGACAGGCATATAAGGTGAACATTTACACCAGTAGGTACAGTCCCTAGAGGGCAGTGTTTACATAGGGAGATAGCTCAGAAGGCAGGAATACATAGGAAAGAAGGACACAGGGAAAAGGTAACCACAAGGAGGAAGTGGAAAGAGAGTTGTTGTATTATGGGCATTGCAATCAGTGTCATGAAACAAATATGTATGAACTATTATATGGAAAACAAATTTGCTCTGTAAACTTTCAACCAAATTACACTTTTTAAAAAAAATTCTGGAAGAGTGTGCATCAGGGTATCCTTTCACCATACTTACTCAGTCTGTATGCTGTGCAAATAATCCAAGAAGCTGGACTATATGAAGAGGAGCACAGCATCAAAATTGGAGGAAGACTCATTAATAAGCTGCAATATGCAGGTGACAAGGTTGCTTGCTGGAAATGAAGAGGACTTGAAGCACTTATTGATGAAGATCAAAGACTACAGTCTTCAGTATGGATTACATCTCAACATAAAGAAAACAAAAATCCTCACAGTTGGATCAATAAGCAACATCATGATAAATGGAGCAAAGAGTGAAGTTGTCAAAGATTTCGTTTTACTTGGATCCACAATGCCCATGGAAGCAGTAGTCAAGAAATCAGACGTTGTAGTGTGCTAGTTAAATCTGCTGCAAAAGACCTCTTTAAAGTGTTAAAGAGTAAAGATCTCACTTTGAAGACTAAGGTACACCCAACCCAAGCCATGGTATTTTCAGTTGCCTTGTATGCATGTAAAAACTGGACAGTGAATAAGGAATACTGAAGAAGAGTTGATGCTTGTGAGTTGTGGTGTTGGTGAAAAATACAGAAAGTACCATGGACTTCCAGACAACTAACATCTGTCCTGGAAGAAGTGCAGCTAGAATGCTCCTTAGAAATTAAAATGGCAAGACTTTATCTCACCAACTTTGGTCATGTTGTCAGAAGGGACCTTGCAGAAGGATATCATGCTTGGCAAAATGGAGCATCAGTGAAGAAGGAGAAGACCCTCAATGAAATGGATTGACACAGTGTCTGCTACAATAGGCTCAAGCATAGCAAAGACTGTGAGGATGATGCATGACCAGGCAATGTTTCTTTTTGTTGTACATGGGGTCACTGTGACTTGGAGCTGACTAAATGGCACCCAATAAAGACAACAACATAGTTCTGAAAGTTAATATCCAACATCACTTTTACTGGCCTGAACTCAAGGGTTGTGTTCCATTGTTGTTGTTGTTATGTGCCATTGAGTCGGACCCGACTCATAGCAACCCCTCCTTGGGTTTCTGAGGTGGTATTATACAGAAGTAGATTGCCCAACCTTCCTTCCAAGGAGTGGCTGGTGGGTTTGAACCTCCAGCCTTCTGGTTAGCAGTCAAGTGCCTTAGGCACTATGCTGTGTTCCCTTAGGAGGCTCTCAAGAAGAATTGGTTTACTTCCCCTTTCCTGCTTCTAGAACTATATTCCTTGCATTTCTTAGTTCATGGTTCATTCCTCCATTTTCAAAGCCAGTAATTAATGTAGCATGTACAAATCTCTCTGCTCAATCTTCACATTATCTTTTCCTCTTGTCTCTGCTTCCTTATTATAAAAACCCTTGTGATTACATTTAGAGTCCACTTAAATAATCTCCTATTACTTAATTTAGTCACATCTGCAAAGTCTCTGTTACCATATGAAGTAACATTTGTAGGTTCCAAGGATCAGGTACTGAGTATTTTAGAGGGCCATTGTTCACATCATTACATTTACTAAGAGACTTAAAGTGAGGGTATTATAACTGACTGAAAAAAAAAAAAACAACCAAAACTCACTGCTGTCAAGTCAGATCTGACTCATAGCAACCCCTCCTTAGGTTTCTGAGGCGGTATCACTATGGAAGTAGATTGCCCAACCTTCCTCCTGAGGAGCAGCTGGTGGATTTGTACCACCAGCCTTGTGGTTAGCAGTCAAATGCCTTAGACACTATGCCACCACAGCACCCTATAACTGACTAGAACAAATTAATAAATTACAAAGTGGCACTAACTCTTGAAGGTGTCTATGGGAATCTTCTCCAGTCCCTGTGTTTTACACTTGAGCAAAGAGATATCTGATCAAATGTCCTATGTTTAAGTTACTTTCATTCATATATTTAAAATTTCTTATTTACCTGATCATCAAAAATGTTTAGCTCATCTTTGCAGTTTGAACTATTCTTTTAAATTATTCATAAGAGATTTATTTTATCTATTCGTTTTGAAGCTTTGTATGTGTTTAAAAGGTATGTAAGTCATAAATGCTCATTATAAGAATTTAAAAAGTGAAAATCTATAAAGTATATAACTAAAACTCGCTGATCCCTGTCTCCCTTCACCATGCCCATCCTACTCCCTAGAGGTTATAGCACACAGATGAGGTAGGCATAGTCCGTCCTCACCCTGCTTGATCTCAATTTCTTCTATGGTGGAATAGCTACACCTGTAAATGCATTTTTATAAATAATGTTGTCTGAAAAAAACATAAGCCCTTGAGAGAATGTAGGAAGTTTTAAGAGGAAAGGTGATGGTGGGTAATTGAACCTACAAGGATGTAGGTGGACTTTGCTGGATAAAAAAGGATTGTTTCAAAACTCAACACAAAAATGACCAGAATTACTGGTTGGATCAAGACTGGTGGAACCCCTAAGACTATGGCCCTGGGTTATCCTTCAGGCCTGGAACAGAACTCACTTATTTGGATTATCTGTCAGCCAAATAATAGAAAGGCCTACAAGCAGAATACCTACCCTAGGGAGATGCACCCCTTAGATCAATCAGCCATGAGACATCAGAAGGGCAGAATTTGCATAGAGGGAAAGCTGGACAGACCAGAATGCATAGATACAAAGGACACAGGAAAGGGGTAGTCACAGGGAGGAGACGGAGGAGAGCTTCTTACTGTTGAGAATGTAATGGGGACTGTGAAACCAAATGTGCATGAACTGTTCAGAGTAAAATTAATCTGCTTTGTAAATTTGCACCCAAATCACAATAAAAATTTAAAAAAGAATAAAAGATCGTTTGGGTAAGTATCACAGGTAGATAAAACAACTGGAAAGAAAGTAGGGGGTATGGAATTGTTTAATATGTTTAAGTATCAGAAAATGACCTATTACAGGGAGAATGGAGGAGTCTTCTTTGTATTTATTTTGATACATGTAAGGAGAAAATATTAGCTTCTTTAATTTTTTCCCATCAATGTGATAATTCTCTAAGTATGGTACCTAAAACTGGAGAAGAGTAGAAGAAAGAGATTACAAAGTTTTTTCCCCCTTGTGCTTCTGATGCTTATTTTGTGAACCTTTCTAAGTGAGAATCAAAATTAGCAAGAATATGGCAGAACGTTTGCTGTAAATATTTGAGTAAAGAATGGTAATCCGTGTCTTTTACTAGCTGTGTGAAAATTGTTAAGTTACTTAACCCAAGTTTCCCATCCATAAAATATTGTTGATAGTATCGTTTCTCTATAAATGAAAGGTTGGTAAAAGAATTAAATGGGTTAACAAATTTAAAATAATTCTGTAATTTATAAACAAAGGCCTTTTTAAAACACAGATGTTTTTGTTTTATTATTGCATGGAATTATTATTATTTTTAATCAGTTGATAAGGAGAATTTCTAGCAAGATTAATATACTATCATTAGTTTTTTTTTTTTTTTTTTTTTTAATAAATATATAATATATTCCTATTGCCAAATGCCATCTTTTTGGATGAATGAATGCATCTTGTATTCACCGTCATCTGGGTTTTCTTTTCAGACATGATGGTTCCAAATGATGTTCAAGGGCCTAGCTTGCTTGTTGACCTTCCTGCTGTGGCTCAAAGAAGAGATCAAGAAGCATTTCCTTTATACCAACTCCCTAGGACCCGAGTTATTTCAAAAGCCTCAGCACACGTGGGAATGTTGTCTTCTAGATATGCCACTGATGCATGGTATGCTATCATTTCACTTTGTTTTCACATTATAAAATAGTTTTCTTTTTCCTTCTATGAAAAAAAGAGGCATTTATTGTGGTGGAACATTTGGAAAATACAGAAAAATATTATGAACAAAATCTACTATACTAGAAAATTACTGTGATAATTTTACATATCCAAAATTATACTGTATGCATAATTTTATATATGCAAAAGAGATTACAGAGAGTATTTTCTTGGAGAATAGAAGACTAATTAAGATTTTATTTGAACCCTCTAAACAAGAAGCAATTAGGGAAAAATAAAGGAGTGCATAGATTTGAGAGTTAGAAAATCTGTAGGAGGTGATGAATGATTAGATGTTGGAAGAGAGTAGTTGAGGATGACTCACGTTTGAAGGATAATGAGAGTATTAATTTTTCATAATAAGATTATAGGAGCACAAATACTTTGGGAATGAAAATTATGACTTTAGTTTTGGACATGTTGAGGATTGAATTGTCTGTGAGACAACCAAATGAGGTAGAGTCAGTAGATATGCAGGTTGAAGTTAATACTGAAATCTATTTTGACATAGATGTGGATAGAGTAAAGCTTTTGGGACCTCCATTTGCTAATGTGGCACGACTAAAGAAATAGCTGCAAAAATCCATTAATAATCAGAACATGGAATGTATGAAGTATGAATCTAGGAAAATTGGAAGTTGTAAAAAATGAAATGGAATGTATAAAGATTGATATCCGAGGCATTAGTGAGTTGAAATGGACTTGTTTTGGCTATTTTGAATCAGACAATCACATGATCTACTATGCTGGGAATGACAAATTGAAGAGGAATGACGTGGCATTCATCATCACAAAAAATGTATCAAGATCTATCCTGAAGCACAATGCTGTCAGGATAATATACATACACATATAAGGAAGATAAGTTAATGCTACTATTTTTCAAATTTACACACCAACTGCCAAAGCCAAAGATGAGAAAATTGAAGATTTTTACCAACTTCTGCAGTCTGAAATTGACCAAACATGCAATCAAGATGAGTTAATTATCACTGGTTGTTGGTACACAAAAGTTGGAAATGAAGAATCACTGGTAGTTGGAAAATATGGCCTTGATGATAAAAATAACACTGGAGATGGCATGATAGAATTTTGCAAGACCAATAATTTATTCATTGCAGATACTTTTTTTTCAATAACACAAATGATGGCTATACATATGGACTTCACCAGACGGAGTACACATGAATCAGATTGACTATATCTGTGGTAAGAGATGATGAATAAGCTCAATATCTTTAGCAAAAACAAGACCAGGAGCTGAATGTGGAACAGATCATCAGTCGCTCATATGCAAGTACAAGTTGAAGCTGAAGACAAATAAAACAAGTCCACAAGAGACAAAATATGACCTTGGTTATATCCCTTCTGAATTTAGAGACCATCTAAAGAACAGATTTGATGCATTGAACACCAGTGACCAAAAACCAGAGGAATTGTAAGATGACATCAAGAACATCATCCATGAAGAAAGCAAAAGGTCATTAAAAAGATCGGCAAGGAAGAAAAGACCAATATGGGTGTCAGAAGAGGCTCTGAAACTTGCCCATGAATGGAGAGTAGCTAACGCAAATGGAAGAAATGACAAGATAAAAGAGCTGAACAGAAGATTTCAAAGAGCAGCTCAAGAAGACAAAGTCAATTATTATAATGAAATGTGCAAAGACCTGGAGTCAGAATGCTAAAAGGGAAGAACACACTTGGCATTTCTCAAGCTGAAAGAACTGAAGAGGAAATTCAAGCCTCGAGTTACAATATTGAAAGATTCTATGGGCAATATATTGAATGATGCAGGAAACATCAAAAGGAGATGGAAGGAATACACAGAGTCACTCTAACTGCTTTCCAATGAGACCCCTTCGTTTTGTTAAAAAAAGAAAAATTATCTTGTGTGGTATTAACAGTTGAATCTGCCAGAAGAGTTCAGAAAATCTAGAGAATTATAACTGTAGAACTGGAGAGGATCTAAACAAATTTTCAAGTCCACTCCTGCTTCCTTGGGTAGAAGTGGAAATAGAACATCAGTTGTGTTCCACTCAATTCTTCCTGCTTCAGTGAGGAGAGATGTGCTTTACTGCCATCACAGTTGCTTTTTCTTCTAAAGTGAGCACTTCAACAAGCTGATTTCTTATGTAGGCATAGGCATTTAAGGACTCCAAACTAACTTTTGCCTTGAGAGATCAGTCTTGTAAATGAAAGTTGCTTTTTTTTTTTTTTGACTTGCTGTCTGAGATTTAGGATATATTAAGTCTCAGCAGGTTCCAGATGAGTTCTTGTAAATAAGACTCCCTCTCTTAATCCTTTCAGGTTATACTCATGGAGATAGGCTCAGAGATGAATATTTATTGCCACTTAGGAGTCTCCATGAGTAGTACATACATTCTTTTGGAAGATAGACTTTTTGATCGTCAGAGTATCATGTAATGTTAAATGATATTTTAGAGTTTCTTCTCTGAGTTAACTTTTGTGTAGCCCCCAACAGAGTCATGTATATATGCATGTGCCAAGGATAAGTATTTATTGGCTGTAATATTTAATGTGCAGAATATGCTTTCACATTAAGACAACTACCTCTTTACTTTGGAGGCAGGACTAGTGGTAAGAGGCAAAGCACCTTGAAAGTGGAGATCTTAGAAAGGGAGTGTGGGCAGGCAGGGTATGATACTGTTGAAAGAACCCAGGTGGTCTTGTTCCTAGTGTCCTTCTGCTACCCTTCCCTTCATAAAGTCACTTGAGGTTTTTTTTTTTTTTTTTTAAATTCACCTGCTCACTCGCTAGCTCTTTCTTCATCTCTGTCATCACCTGCTACCTAAAGAGATAAGAATGCTCATAGTGCTCATGGGAGATGTGGATGTTTCTCAAACTCGTGGGAGTTTTGCAGAATAGAGAGTGGGTGCTATTTATAGCTATGTGACTGTGTAAACAAGGGAGTTCTGCAGTTTAAATAAGAATGCATATACTCTTATGCTTTGTACCTGTTGTTGTTGTTATGTGCCGTCGAGTCGGCCCCGACTCATAGCGACCCCTTGTTGGGTTTCCAAGGCAGTATCACTACGGAAGTAGGATTGCCGAGCTTTGTACCTAGCAGATATTTAATAAAAGGTTGGCATAATAGTGGTAGCAGTGGTAACCACAGACTCTTGAGCCCTGAGATGTACCCACAGTAGTATTGATTGTTGCTGAGCTTATGAAAACATTCAAGATTCTTTTTTTTGAAGTGGCTAATTAATTTATTTTATTTATTTATTTTTTTTTTAGGATTTGGGTGAAGATTTACAGAGTAAATTCACTTTTCATACAGCAGTTCACATATACTTTGTCTCATGTCATTGATCAAAATT